TGAAGTGTTTGTCTCACTGTAATTACTCCAGATTATTGAATGTTGTATGATCTACTCTATATTTTCCATAATGGTTTTTCCTGATTTGCGGGATCTCTTCTTTTGCTGTTTGCGTGTTTACAGGAAGTGGCTGTCTGGTGTAACTGCACCAGATCCTGGGGAAATTAAGTCAGATGCAGAGGCAGGGTCGTCCAGTGATGCTACACTGCCGTTCTGTGTGCAACGTTACCGCTAATACCCCCGGCGAAAACACAAAAAAGACAAACACGTGAAAAGACTACAGTATTGACCGTTCTGCTAATAAATGCATGACTGCTCCGACAGTCGATAATCGAAACACAGAGCACCAGCATGATGTTTTCATATTGGGAACCACACAACAGCTCAATTCTCAAGCCCAAAAATTGATGAATACAAATACAGAGCGACGCAACAAGAGGTCATCCGGCAACCAAACAAACCTGGGTCTAATGCACTGAATAGTCCTGAAATACGCAGGCCAGACAAAGCAGTGCAAGCACATAATGTTACAAGGTACATGCATTGCAGAACAAAGTGTAACCAAAGATACACAGGGTTATAGCTGCACACTTGTGCATGTGCTCGCTCAGCCCAAGAACACACGATCATGATGATAGAAACAATCCGGGGGAAACACGCTAACACCGAAGTAAGCATCAACACGTAAATAGTGCAGCTCTGAAAAAATTACATTGACATGAACATTGGTGTGTCGAGTAGTATCAGGCTTGAATAATCATCCAACCAAGACTTCATCAGGTCCCAGACGCTGAGATCGCACGCCGAATGTGAAGTGCATCTAGCCTTGAACCTGTCGCACAAGGCACACATATATGGCAAAATGACATCCACTCTGATTATTTCCAGAGGCCAATCATGACAGAACACAGAAATGAAACCACGGGCTCAACCAAGTAAACGCAAAGGAAGTTAGTCAAAATAATCCATGCAGTGCTCTTTTAATTGCAGCGCTGATTGCAGTGTTGCGTCATAGCCCGATACCCGCTGAGCACAGACACAACTCCATTCGTCAGGGGCAAGACATACTCTTTTGGAATAAAGTCATAAAGTACAGCGTTCCAATGACATTACGGACACCTCGTGTAAATGCATGGTCTGTTCATCTGGCCGACTCGGCCACGCATGAGAGTGTGTGCATGTACCGTAAAGTACCGCCAGAGCGCCCCGTCTCGCGAGAGCGCCCCACCTTGATTTTACAGCCAAGGGAAGACACTCGTATGGCAGAATGCTACTAAGTTTGTACGGTGTGAGAACCTTCGTGTACTAAGGTCACGCTTGTCATGTTTTATGTGGAGCTCGCATCCGCTTGAAAGTAAACTGGATACGGATTGACTGCAATATGTGTATAAGGTCCGTGTCGTATGACCTACAGGCTACAGACAGGAACCACCTCCACAAGACGACCACGAAAGGACGAGATGGTGGGGCGCTCTGGCGGTACTTTACGGTACATGCGCGCGCGCAACCGCGCGCACACACACACACACACCATGTATTCGGTGCGTATGGTGTACCAGTTGCGGGACAATGAAGATGGAATCATTATCATGATGTTACATGTACATCTACAGTGTATGTTTGAGTGTATTAAAAGTAAATTTTATTTTATTGCACATTTCTTCGACACAACTAATTACTTACTTCACATGTTCGCATTTCTCATAATCGATCCACCTGCACTCCGTATCAGTCGAGGAAAAATTCTCCCAGATATACACTAGTCACCATAGCCATGTGATGACATTGGGATGGGCCCCAAGCAGTGCACGATTGCACTCTCTAGTTACAATAAATTTGGCCAGATTATCTGTGAAGACAAAATGCAATGCATAGCGCCAATCGATGGATGAAGAGAGAGTTTGTAAATACCCATATCTTTCCACTTGTTCAGGAGCTTACCTTTTGGAGTTCACATCGTTTACACGATCTCTCATGCTGTCTTGCACCTTGGTTTTGTTGACCATGGATACGCCAACCCAGAAAACATTCTACAGGAGCTACTAATGCAGAGCGTTTTTCACGCTCGATCTCGGCGATCTACCTTGTCACGCCAATAAAATCCTCCATGACACTGGCTTCAGTCACAAGAGACGTCTCAGTAAGGTAATGAGCACGACAACATCATCGAGATCAAGGACAAAGAGAAAACAAAACACTCACTGAAAACAGCAAAGAAGAAACGAAGAAATGTACACGATTCCTATATGTTGCCACTGACAACTGGGTCGGTGGAGACGACGCTACTTTTGTTTGTCCCCAGTGGGATCGTTGTTATATATAATTATGCGTATCGAAGGAACTGTGACGTCATCACTTAACAGCCCCATTGCATTGTGTTGCAGTGTGTTGTGAAGATGTCCCCGTGATGTCGTTCATTGATCGTCTTCACCTTTTTCAGCTACTGACACAGTCACTGACTGACGTAGCTGCATGTCCGTAGACGTGGGGTCAAAGGTTGTTTCACTCTAAATATGGCATTGGGTATGACGTCATGACGAGTGTGTACGTGTGTGCGTACGCATCAGCGTAGATACAAGTATTGACACGTGAGATCAATCTTGTTTGGATCATTGTGTATGTCATAGTATGTGAGTACTTGTTGTCTGTCTGTGTGTCTGTGTGTCTGTGTGTCTGTCATCTGTCTGTCTGTGTCTCTCTATCGGTCTGTGTGTCAGTCCATCCATGTGTCCGTCTGTCTGTGTGTCTGTGTGTGCATCCATGTGTGACGGTCTGTTTGTCCATTGCTCCGTGTACATGACTTATATTATAATGTGTGTCTGTGTGTGTGTGTGTCTGTGTGTGTGTGTGTCTGTGTGTGTGTGTGTGTGTGTGTGTGTGTGTGTGTGTGTGTGTGTGTGTGTGTCTGTGTATGTGTGTCTGTCTGTGTTACGTACACATTGTCCCTGTACAGACATGTCCAGTCAAGTTGTGTTCGACACGTTTGCTCAGGAGGTGCAGCGAAGAGATGCCACACTGGAAAGTCTTCAGGCTGCTGTGCCTCCTGAGCAGCCGCAATTGTCCTCCACATCACGTAAAGCGACATGGAATCATCATACTTTGGGGGCACGCTGCTACTCAATGGGAGT